ATGCTTCCCTTCCCAGCAGGGACTCGGCAGTTCAGCTGCTTTATGCTTCCCTTCCCGGCAGGGACTCGGCAGCTCAGCTCCTTATGATTCCCTTTCGGCAGGGACTCGGCAGTTCAGCTGCTTTATGCTTCCCTTCCCAGCAGGGACTCAGCAGTTCAGCTCCCATTGCTTCCCTTCCCAGCAGGGACTTGGCAGTTCAGCTGCTTAATGCTTCCCTTCCCAGCAGGGACTTGGCAGTTCAGCTGCTTTATGCTTCCCTTCCCGGCAGCTCAGCTCCTTATGCTTCCCTTCCCGGCAGGGACTTGGCAGCTCAGCTCCTTATGATTCCCTTTCGGCAGGGACTCGGCAGTTCAGCTGCTTTATGCTTCCCTTCCCAGCAGGGACTCGGCAGTTCAGCTCCCATTGCTTCCCTTCCCGGCAGGGAATCGGCAGTTCAGCTCCTTATGCTTCCCTTCCCGGCAGGGACTCGGCAGCTCAGCTCCCTATGCTTCCCTTTCCGGCAGGGACTTGGCAGCTCAGCTCCTTATGCTTCCCTTCCCGGCAGGGACTCGGCAGCCTTCTACTCTAATGTAAGCAAAAAACCAGAGGCCGGGTGAGCTAAACTTAAACAGCCAACTTGAATGACTTCACTGTTTCCGCTGTGAACCTTGAGAATGAGTTGGCTCACAGTGCCTGCAGCTACATTGGTCAGTAAGGACTTGTTTTTAAGCGCATATACTGCTGGTTACATATACTTAAGTAACTGAATGTCCTCAGATTTCTCTGCTTGGAGGCCGGACACAGACAACTGCTTCTGACAGACAACATGCTGAGAACCTGCATAGACCCCAGGGACATGAGTGACGGAGTGTAACCCGAGGAAAGATACGTCTGCTGCAGTGGTACCCAGTTTACATAAGCAGGGCAGCCATTGTTCTGTGGAGCATGGAGTTGGCCTTTTTATTGGTTGCACAATCTGCCGGTGGGGTTTGTAGAACTTCTTAAAATGTATCTTCCTGGAATTGCCTCGAGGAATTGCCCCATCGCTCCTGTGTATACAGAAGTCGGCATTCCACTGGCTGGAAATTTATAAACGAGTAGTTAGGCTGCAGCGGCTGGAAATGTTTACCGGAGCTAAAAATACATTTTGTTGGGCAGACTGAACTCGTGACATCTGAATTTGCTGTGGAGATGCTGTTTTTGTTGGTCTGACTCTCACAGCGGACCATCGACTTAAAGTAAACCTGTCACCACCCAGACAAATCACACTGAGCATATGATGAATAAGTGGTTTCCTTCAGTGAAATGGCATGCCAAAGTGATCCCGTGATGCAGGTAGCTGAAGTCTTATGCAGATCTCTACTTTTCCTGTAAATGAGCTGCAAAGGGACTTCTCATTACAGTAAAGGGTCAGTAGGGAGGCTCATGAGGAGTAAGGCGGTGGGGTCAAGCTTACAAGAACACAATTATTCAGATAAAACCTCATCTGCATTTATTTCTGGGTTTGCTGATCATTTGTGGTTGACACTGAAGGTAACCTCTGCCTATGCTCAGTTTGGGTTTCCTGGGTTTGGATCGGGTTCAGTTTAATCCTATAACCCTCCAGCCCCCTTCTGATAGCAAGGACACATGTTGTATTTCAGCACTGCGGCCTGTCCCGGGCCTGGCAGGATTTACAACTGCAATTGCCCCGTGTTCCTGAAGACTGGACTCGCATGACCTGCTCAGCCATAGAAAATAATAGCCAAGCTAAGCCTAGCCTGGCGCAGCTGCCTTGGGCGGCCATTATTTCTTAAGTGACACGAAACTCAGGAGATAAATCTTAAAACTGCATCCAAGAACCTTAACTACTAACATAAATGTATCTTATTTGTGTATCACTCGGCTGTAGATCCTCAAATCATCTCTGAATTGGTGTGGACACTGTCCTTCCTTCTGGAGGGTGGCTACTTTGGTTCCCCATGGTCCCTGTGTGTGTTGTAAAGTAGTCACCGCCCCAAGCTCCCTCCCGTGATGGACTACAATCTCAGGTTTAGTTTACTGATTTGTAGGGATGCTCTGATACAGGTTATTTCGGTATCGAGTACGAGTTCCGATATTTATTTTTTTCGGTACTGGCGAAATCAGATACCTGAAGTCCCATTAAGGAAGCCCTGTCCATGCTTCTCGTCACTAGATGACGAGAAAGCATGGAGCCGGCATTCTGGCCAATCAGGAAGCCGGGCAATGACGCTTCCTGATTGGCCGGGAAGCCGTCTCCATGCTCTCCCGTCACAAGGGAGCATAAAGCTGGGCAACGTGTAAATAACTCGCTGCCTGGCTTCCTGATACCGGAAGCTCAGGTATCGGGCTAGGCATCGGAGCATTTGGACAAGTACTCTGCATCGGCACCGATACTAGTAACGGTATCGGTGCATCCCTACTGATTTGTATTGAGATTGAAGTCCATCACGGGAGGGAGCTTGGAGTGGTGGCTACTTTACAACACACAGGGACCATGGGGAACCAAAGTAGCCCCCCTGCAGAAGGAAGGACAGTGTCGGCACCAATTCAGAGATGATTTGAGGATCTACAGCCAAGTGATACACAAATAAGATACATTTTGGTTAATAATCAAACTGTTTTTTGGGGATATATCTTCACTGTACAAGAGCTCATGGTGTGAAGTAGAGTTGTCATCCGCTATAACCAGTGCTGAGTAGTTGTCATCATTCATACTGGTTTGCTAGGCCACGCCTCTAAATTTCGGCCATGTTCCATGACACTGAGCTATTTATTAGGCCTCTAGGTAAGGAAAGAAATCTTGAAGTCTGTATAGCCGATATCTTCAGTAGATTGTCTGCGTACATGTAAAAAGCAAATGTGCAGAGAGAAGAAGAGGCGCAAATCGGCTGATATTTGAAAGGCGGTATTTCCGGCAACCCTTGGGACATGCTTGGCCTCTGTCAGATAATTGCTGTCTACCTCAGGGACCTGCTCAGTGTCCACAGGAATAGTTTTCCCTTTCTTTCATCCCCATATGCGTAGAGCCCTGTACTAGCAGAAGACTGTATAGTAAATTACAACTGAATGGACCCTTTCAGGACCTGAGAACAGTTTCTACGAGGACAGCAAGAGTAAGGAAAGAAGTGATAAGCGATATTGCCAACTTGCTTGAATTTATCTGGCTATAATAAAGAAGCCGAGGGCCTTCCAGAGGTGCCCATGTTCTTTGCTTTTGTCTGCAAGTATCGCTCCTCTGGGAGAAGAATCATTTGCCTGGAACTCATTGGGCAGAAGTGTGTGACATTTCCATGCCATGTGTAACACGAAGAAAACAACCGCGGCCGGTCAGAAGCCGCTTCCGTCTGCGGCCTCATATTTTATACAGCCGTCTGTCCGTCTGTAACATTATTTTACACTTCAGAGAATTTCCGACTTGTTGGAGGAGTTTGCAGACATTGAGGGGGAAGGCTCCCCTCCCCCGCCTCTGATGAATTTTCCTGACACTCCGAAAGGGAAATATTAACTTGTCACTTCCGTCATCTGGGAGCCCTAATTCTTTGTGACGGCGGCTTCTTAGGAAAGTGAAATCCTATATTATTTATAAGACGTAGCTGGCAGCTGCCATTTTTATTTTTCCGATTTCCCCTTCTGCAGGTAATAAACATAGAGGTGTCGCTTTCTTTTCTGCAATAGTGAAGGAGAATTCCACGTCCAATAGGAAAGAGAGAATTCACGTGTCTGGGTCCAGGGGGGGGGGGGCTTGTGATGAGTGGGCGGAGCTCATCTTCTGGTGCCCCCATCTATCGGGCTGGTTATGAGCCTTCATTCATCCTTTGTCCAGTCACAGTTTGGGCGGCTCTTGGACTAAGGTGTGTTGCAGAAGTCTCCCTGTTACAAAGTTAGTCAGGTTGACAAAATACGCAAGTCCATCGAGTTCAACCAATAGAGATACAGAGAAAACAAAGCCTAAAGAGAACGCTATGCCCGCAGCTACCCCTTGTTGATCCAGAGGAAGGTAAAAAAGACTCTATAAAGCATTTTAGATTGTAAGCTCCCATGAGCCGGGCCCTTCTCACCATCTTCTCTTGAATTGTATTGTAACTGTACTATGTTCCTTTTATATTTGTAAAGGAGCGTTTCTCAACCTTAAGGCCCCATTCACACTGAGCGATTTATCGCGCGGTAATTCCCGCGATATGGCGGCTATTTACCGCATGATGACGCTCTCCAATGCATGGGGCTCTGTCCGTAGCTGTCGTGCGTCGCTACAGCAGGACCCTTTTTGGAGCGGATTTTGCCGCGATTCTAGCTGGCTCGATGCAAGCATTTGCGCGACAAACGCGCGATTTGCGAATCGCTCAATGTGAATGGGGCCGGGTGACGGCACCCTATAACAGTATGCAAAATCTAAAAAATAAGTGTTATTTCTCCAAAATCCATAGCAGTCCCTTATCCCAGACGGGGGTCTGGTAAGGAATTTTTGCAGAGGTTGCAAGCAAAGACGCACAAAGTTTTTCATATCCAATGCTAG